TGTACTACTCTGAATGCAGCGTGTTATCATCTTCTCTGCAAAGGATGCATTGTAGTCCTTCCATTTACTAGATGCATTGTCATTCATGATCAGGTATTCTCGTGAATCAGTGGTAGGACTCTGCTTATTTGGATACCCAGAATGGTCCATTTTAATGCAAAAAACCTCTCTCAGTCTGGTTTGACCAGTGGTTTCATAGAATAATTCATGTGTTCCATTTTCACCTGGAAAATTATCACCTGTTTTCTTTTTTGGAAATGACCTTTTGTATTGAAAAATTAGGCAGACATCATTTCAGTGAGTATCTGTTACAAACTTTAGAGGACATGATGAATGTGTAGTGTAATGGATCTCCCCAAAAAAGTACTCAGCAGAAGGAAATATGTCAGCATGTGTCCTTGATCTGTACCACATTAGCTAACCCAAAAACATGGCATCGTATGTGCAAGAAATTGGGGTCAGGCACTGCACGCTGATTTATTCACTTCCACCTGTTCAATATAGTCTGGGATACTGCAACAATTAAAGGGGTGGTTTTTCGTTGTGGTACCTTTATTTCACACTGGAATGTGAGCCAAGGCTGTTATCTGCTGCTGAAAATAAAAATAGAACTTCAGGGAAAATCCTCATATAGGAGATAATATCTAAAATAGTCATGTCTTATGTATGTGTGTATACATGTGTATGTCAGAGACAGTAAGGGAAATGGTCTGTTAGTTATTTCTATATGGCTGACAAAAAAAAAGAAGACAATTAAATGAGTTTTCATGTCTTAAGATGAACTATCAAAATAACTGAACATCATAAATAGTCACTACAGCAAATGCATTGCCTCAATTAAGAGGATACTCCTCGCAAATATCTGTTTCCATGTACATCAGTACTGACTGCTTGGATTATGACATCAAAGGATTCTACTAAAATTAATTAGAAGTATGTTTTGTCTCATATGGGAAATGAGAAAGCATGTATCTTTAGCAGAACTGGGGTTTGTTAACTAAACTAGAGTTTGTCAGCAATTTTTCAGCCATATAATTAGAAAAAAATGCATAAGACAAAAAATGATGAATGGATACTACATTCATTATTGAAATCTAACTGCCTTCGCCAACTAGGAAGAGAGATACACGCATGCTTTACCAGCATACATGGTCTTCAATAGTATACTTGTAGAATCATAACATATCTCCTAGCAAGGATGCATAAATTGATGGGCAACGTAGCACAATAAATACTGGACATAGTGCCCATATTGAAAGGTCAATACAGTCATGCCTGTGAGTCCAAACTTTATCAAGGGAAGTAATCAAGGTAACCCAATTTCATGGATTCTTCTTATGAAGAGATATCAGTGCTTTTTCAGTTTGTGCGTGCGCGAGTGTGTGTTCACGTGTGGCACACGAGAGCAAAGTTTTTGTCGACTGTCAAACAAAATCTAGCAATCAAATCCTCTGAGTTTTTGCTGATGTCTCTGAACCACTGCCACATCACTTTCTTTGAAAGAAATGGAACTGCTTTAAGGTCTCTCTGCTGGAGCAGCCTGAACCTCAAAAGATTCCAGACAGTTAGAGGAGATCAGAGATGATCATCAGCTAACTAAAGTGCACAAAAATCCACAACCATGCCTTCTGAACCAGAAGCAATTCACAGTTCATTTACCATGCATTTTTTCAGAGCTCACTTAAGCTCCTACTTACTTTAATCCAAACCTAAAATCTTTGAAAGTTTTTGCTCTTATTTGCATGGTCATACTCTGCGGGTTCAGCTTTCTGACCATCCCACTAATACCATAATATTTTATAGTGGGAAATACAGTGTACAAATAAACAAAATAACTTGGTATCTATTCAGGTTTTAGCTAGTTTCTCTGTTTTACACCTGTGAAAAGGTCCCAGTCCTTATTCAAGGAATAGATTGGTGAGAATCAGATGAGGTCAATGAAATATCTATCGTCCACTGTTCAGTATTTTTCAAGACTATAGATGCAACTTCCGTAAGGATCTTACAACATCATTTTAGATGCTTCTAGAAGACCGTTTGATACCTGTTGAGTACATTCCCTGAGCAACACTGGATAAGACTGTCCCCAGGCACACTGGGAGGCTTTGTTTAGCCTTGTGCCAATAAACAATTTATTTATCTGTTATGCACCTAGCATTTATTGATTGGTCACATCTTAACTGGCTACTGTTAGTACAAAACTAAAGAGCTGTGGTCTCTTAAGCCCTTATTTACTTTGTCTGTCATTTCTCATTGGGATACTATTCAGGAACAAGCCTGTAGGTCAGAAGGGTTTCTTTAGGTCTTGTGCTGTGTATTTTGGGTACAAGAGTACCAGAAAACGTTGAAGAAAGCAGAAGCAAGTGTATTGATGATAGTATATTCAAAATGGAACTGTTGTTTGGAACTTTCTTATATACCTTTCCTCCTCAATAAACAAGCCTTATTCCATCAAGCCCCAGGGTGCTATGTCTGTATCATTGAAAGCATTAAGCCTGGAGGTTTCTGAAGAAAGAAATCTCAAGTTTTTCTGAAGAAACTGAGGATATTGTTTTCATGTTTCCAAAGCTTTTTCATAGGAAGCATTAAGCTGCTAGTAGAAATTGCTTTCATAACCTGCTCAAGATTGAGGTATTGGCCTGATTTTCTATCCTTTTCTACTATTTCCAATGTCCAAGTGATATGTAGCAGTGTCCTGCTTTAGAGTCCAGCTAATAAATGGGACTTCTACAGGCAGAGGTAAACTCACTGGATTAGAGACAACCGCTCTGAAGACACGATTCCTTTTGTGCAATAAAAGGCAAATTTGTATGAGATTGTCTTTGGTGTCCTCAGGTATGAATGTGAATCATTGTATAGTTCATTATGCAGTGGCTTTAACAGTGTAAGAATATGGACTCAGGGTATCCTGCAAATGTCTGCTTTTTCAGATGTGTTCATTACTAGCAGATCCCATTGGTTACAATTGATTGTGACTATTTGGAACTTCTAGAGAAAAAGGAGGCCCAAAATTATTTAAAAGCATGATTTTAAAGGTAGAAGATAAGGCATTGTTCTGAAGAGATAAAAATATATCCAACAACTAGATATAGATAGATATGGATACAAGGCTTTGATTTTCTTTATTTAATCTTCTCAGTATTTCCTTTCTACCCAATCAATTAGCATATTAATTTGTGTGTGGCCTATGCTGGATGCTATAGGGGAAGAGAACGGTGATATACTTAATGATTTCTATTGGTAGACATTTAAGAAATTCGAGCTATGTTAAGGTGTCTTTAATAATCTATTTTATTTTCTTGAAATAAGTTTTGATTATAGAGAAATTCATAGTCATGAATCATTTTCTAAACAATTTCTTACAAATTCAGCCTTTTAAGGTGTATGTTAAGATAGGTTTTAACCTACAACATGCAGAAAAAGCTTTTACCGATAACTTTACAGAAAATAAACTTATTTGAATATAACAATACTTTATAAGATATATACATTCCCAAAACTTTTCTAAAAGCCACAAATTTAAACACCTCAAGAGAAGAACTTAAATTTGAATAAATACGAAGGCACAAAACTTCTTGAGGTCCTAGCAGAAAGTTTATCTATAGCTGGAGAAAAAGTCACATCTTATTTTAGCAGACAGTGGCTTACTACCTTCCAAACTGAATTATGCTTTTTTTACCTTCTTCACCTGATCTTATTTTGAATCTTTTTTTGATTAATCAGTGTCCCTTATTTTTCTTCAAATTGAATTGACTTTCTTTCTAAGGTGTGCCTAAATTTTGGGGGGTTTTTTTCAGGAAATTTGTTCTGTCATCCAAAACGTTATACTAAGAGTATGCTAGTACACTAGTAACCATACAAAACTACCACATTCCTACCTCATTGATTTTATTCTGTAATGACTTTATGGAGTACGTATTGACTACTAGCACTGTTCTCAAAATGACATTTTGAAATGCATATTTTTTCTGTTCAGTCTGCAGATGTTCCCTAAAAAAACAGATGTACAACTTGAAAAATAACAACTGCTAAAAATACACAAACTGTCAGCTTTGTTTTACTGAGAGAAACAGTAACTTCAAGTAAGATAGATTTGTATTTAAATACTATGTAAGAAACCTAAATTATTCCCTAAGACTGATGGCAATCCCAGCAAATAGTGCAAATAATCACATTATAAATGAATAATTTGAGATCAGGGTGGGGTAAAGGTGGAGTAAAATTGTTGCTGTATAAGCTAATAATACTGACATCAATTTTGGAAAAAAAATCATAAATAATTAAAAGGCTTGTTTAATAAAATAACCGATACTAATATTTTCTTCTCTGTATTAACATCTTAAAAATAGCTCTTCCTTTGTGCTTACACCTTTAAGGTGTCATAGCTGTAATGGTTTTTCACCTGACCTTGCAGAAAGTATTTGTCTTAGTATACTAAACAAGCTGTGAAAGTAATGTGATTTCAAATAAACCTTTAAAAAAAACAGGTAATGATGCTTCCTTTCCACTTAGTTCAAGGTTAATTGTACTTGTCAAGAAGGCAGTAAAAAACAGGAGTCAGAAATTTGACAGATCGATGGCAACCACACAGACTGTGCACCTCCAGCAGTTCCCATTTGTCAAAGTTGCACCCATTGATAAAGTCAGAATGAGGACAGTATTTCAGAAGGCTCATTTTTTCATTGCACTTAAACGTAATAAGTCAAGACCAAAAAATTAATATGCCGTAAACCATAATAGAGAAAATTTGACAAACTGGCAGATTTTCTTTTTATGGAATAGTTATGAAATGATGTATCTTAAGCAAAGATCAAAATTTCATGACAGTGTTCCTGTTCATTTTTTTAATGTGAATGTTTTCCTATGCATTTGAGTGTGGGTGTGCACATATATAAAGTGAGACTAATGCAGTAAGGAACTCCGGTTAAAAACAAAGACAGTTTTAGGGAATAACTTGGATAGAAGTATGGCTTTCTAAGTGCAGACTTTAAAACTCCTACCTCTCTGCAGATTCATCTGAATTTTCTTCTGTGATCATCTGCAACTCCTGCGTGGTTTTACTTGAATCTTCTTTGACACTGTTTTCCTCTGTGCTTGTTTTGGGAATATCCTCATTTGATCGAAGCTGTTCTATGAGATTGTGTTGATGCCAGGTTTGAATAGATCGGTGGTGCACCGGGGTTGGACCTGGCACAGGTGCCAGTATATTGTGGTGGACAGGACTGCTGTTTTTCTTCAGCCCATTTCTGTCCCGAGAGTGGTTCTTCAACCTGTTCTGAACCGGTGTCCCTCTGTGCTCATACTCCCTGCTGAGGGCAGCCCCCCGTGCCTGCGGAGCCTTGCGAGGGGTGACTGAACCACCTCCAGCGGAGCCTCAGGATCTGCTTCACATCAAACTCTTTCTTTCCCGATACTGACATTTTTTTCAGGGGAAAAAAAAAAAAAAAAAAGACAAAAGCCTATTCTTTTAGAAAGGAAATGGATTCTTTGTTATCTCTTGTGTTTCAACTCCTCTTCTTAAGAAAAGACAACAAAAGAACAAATACCGGTAGCTCTCTCCCTCTCTCTTCTGATTAATATACTGCAAGCTCTTCAAGCCGATGCTAAGCTACTGCTAACTGTATAGGTGGGAATCCATACTGACAGGATGATGAGGTCAGACCTTAAACAAGTAAATCAGCTTAGCACAGGAAAGCAGCAACCATAACACTACCCAGCTGCTAGGCTTACACACTCACAGTACTATAGCACAGCTCTCTAATATATAACCTAGCCTCACATGATCCTAAGGGATCCTAAGCTGCAACTTAAGATGCAGGAAAGCACATACAAATAAAGTGACAAGACTTTCTATCTCACGAGGTTTTCCATCAAACCTGCTAATAAGCAATGCTGCATTTCACAGAAGATTTACAGAGAATTCTTTTATAGTCGTCTTCTGCAGATTTTTGGTAATGATTCACTGTGAAACTATCCTACAGTTCATCTGTTTCTTTAAGGGGTTTGCATTTGTTTATCTTGCTGTGTAAAATTCCTACAAATGGCCTCAGTGTGGTAGCACTTACCTAAAGGAAAGAGGCAGCATTTGAATACCTTGTGTAGAACTATGTATTTTCTCACCTACAGATAGATTTCTCGATATAATTACAGGGCTATGAAAACAGAGGGAGGGAGCTCGTGAAAATCAGAGATGTGCTCCCTCAATGGCTGTATCTGTGGAAAACACACTGTTTCCTGGCTAAGTGCCTATGTAAACACCCTTTGCCATCCTGCTCTTTATTTCTCACAGACAGTGAAACGAGTAATGATTTTTTTTAGAAAAAACCATTCTTTTGATAGTGTGCACTGTAACATGTTTTCAGCAGATTTAATAGATGATATATATTCATTCCCATCCATTTGTTAACAGGCAGGGCTGTGAGAACTGTTCCCTGTGTGTTTTGAAATAATGTACACAGAATGTTTTCACATGCAAATTGAAATTAATTAAAGGGACTGGATTTTTTTCTTCCGTTGTATTTTCCAGAGTTTGCTACTGATGATCTACACAACTGTTAGCAGTGTGTAGAAGTAAAAAACCCCCTGTAACACAAGGTCAGTAAAACAGGATTCAGAACTAAAGGAGGGTACCCCTCTCCAACACATCTTCTTACGTCTCTTCCTCAAACCTTCCCATGTTAACTTCCTTTTTCTCTGTCCGTGTTGTGTTTTCTTCCTTTTTTCCTAAACTCAGCTGATGGGATTTTGAACCTTGAAATGATAAAATCTGCTTTCTTTTCTTTTTTTGGCTGCATATAATGCAAACAGAGAAATGTGACGTAGAGGTTTGAAAAGAAAAAGCAAAACGAGAGGATAGGACCAAGGAAACATCAGGTTTCATGCTGGGCTGTCAAGCTCCTACCCCATTCATGGTATTCAAGCAAATGATAGGCATTACCATGGACTGGATGCAAGTGAGATAAATTACAAGGCAAGTGAAAAACAGTAAAATAATTAAAAGATATTACACTATTTAGAAACATAAGATACGTAGAAGGAAAGAAAAGACTTTATACCAAAGAAAACCTATGACAAAGAGTTAGCCATAAACAGCAGAGAGGAAGAAGTTGAGGAAAGACATTTGACAGACATAGCCAATGCATATTTGTTGCTATGTAGAACATTGAGGCTGAGCTATTGCAATAAAATGTACATTAACATGATTTTGATAGCAGGGTAAATGTCTACGATAGACAGAACAAGAAAAACTTGGTTGCAGATAAGAATCCTTTCTTATATGAAAAAATAATCTATTCGTGGGAGCTCAAACACAAGCCCCAGCAAGCCTTACTGCGGGGCTTTGGCATAATTGCTCCCATCGCTGCCCCCAGTCCTGCGCTACGGGTTACTGTTCTCACAGCTGTTGTCAGAACTCTCATGTGCCTTGGCTGCCTCAGCTAAAAGTCACGACTGAACATCCAGCAAAGGCTGGCTTATGCCTAGACACCAGGCCCTGGGTCTCAGCAGCTCTGATGCAAGAACCGTTCTGCTCTGCCGCTGTTCTTCCCAGCGCTGCGATCTACACAACAGCAAAGACTGCCATGTTGTCACATATGGACATCCCAAACCGGTGCCGTCCCTTATAAAAGTAACATGACTTCATTAAGACAAACTGTGTTCTGTAATATTTACTTGAGAATGAAATGAAAGAAGGAATTCTGTGTTAGAATATCAGGCTGTAAGTGTTCTTAAAGGAACATATTTTTAAAAGGACTTCATTTTGTATATCATAGGAATGGATAGAAACTAGAAAACTTGTTCAACTTCTAAGAAGTGATATTAGGGAGAAGGTATATAGAGGCCTGCTTGTGCATTTAATAGAGGGCTTCAATGTAAGCTTGTTGAGAATATAAGCTCACAAAGAAGCTGCTCCCAAACTTCAGGGATTTTAAATAATTTATAGGGAGTGAAAGGATAAATGAAAATGCTGGTCATTGAGTAGGAGAGATTATTATATGTCCAGAAGTCAGTGTAAGATGTTTTCATACTTTAATGATGACCTTTATAAGAATCTGAAATTTTCTGGAAGTACAAATGTTTCTTGCATTACTGCTATATAATATTTAATTTAATGTTTCTTAGCTTTTCAATTTCAGCCTACACACCTATGGATGTTATTCTTTTCAATTTCATAAAAGTAATGAGACTTGGTGGTACATATGTGTATTCCTTAGAATTGCCTACATGGCAGTCTGAGATCTCTCTTAAGGAGGGAGTCTCTACATACCAAGTTAATAGAATAATTCATGATAAAATCTTGTAGAGGTGGACATGACGAGAACATGGTTTCTCACTACTATCTGAATCAGGATATGGAGCTATCTCAGCAGCTCTGTCAGTTCCCCTTAGCAACAGCTCTGATGATACATTTAATCCATATTTTTTCACCATGTCACAAACCTTCTGTTGGTTTCCTTTCCTTAAATCCCTTTTGCAGAAGTCATCCTTTACTCCAAGTTATCATCAAAAGCATTGAATTTTACTTGAGAATGAACAAACAGTTCTTCTGTTTGTGAATTACTCTGTTTCCTACTAACTCAGTACATGTTTTGGCAGATGTAATGTATATCTAGCTAAAATTAAAATAGTAAAATTGGACATTTGCTGAAGAGACTGTCTTGCTCAAAAATTTCGATAAGTCAGCACAGAATATGTTTCAGGTAGGGCATAAGTAGACTATTTTTCACACAGCTTGTTACCATTCTGGTTAAAATTTCAATTTGCTGTACTAGGACAGGATAAGTGATTTGATAATCCAAAACTTCAGGCCTGAAATGATTAGAAGTCTTTCTTCTCTGAAAAACTTCCTTTCGATTCAATGGGTATGAGTTTTGAGGAAGATCTTTGATCAGGTTAGGAAATTGCACTAAATATGTTGGTAGACTGGCATCTAGCAGGAAATTGGGCATAATTTTAAAAGGCTTGTATAAACATGTTGAACTTCCAGATAATTTGAAAGATACGTATTAATAGTAAGAGTCTAAATAGATGTTTATAATAATTTTAAGATCACAAGTGTAAATGCCTGATATGACATCTGAATTAGCAAATCATAAAATTACTTCTGCTATAAACTACCTACAAGAAGAAATTGAGAATTTTCTTTCTGTCATAAATCATGTTTTAAATATGCTTCAAAAATTACTTTTAGCTACAGCTGCCTCCCATGTTCATCTGCCACCAAAACACCTCATAGAAAGGAGTTTTCTAATGCATTTCAAAATGTCTGGATTTTCTAGCTAATAATGTAGTAAATTTTTTTTTTTTTTTTTTGAGAATTTAAGCAAGCAGAAGATATTCATGCAGCTATGTAATGTCTATTCTCCTCTCAAAAGAGGCATAGCAAATCATTTCTTATTCTTTTTCTGTTTGCCCTGAGCTGGTAGTACAGTGCATGTATGAAAAGCCTATTAGAAAAATCTCTCTCTGTTCCCACAAGCCTAGCAAAGAATAATAAAAAGGAATCACCTAGCTTTGTTGTAGAATAATTCAAGAAAGATGCCATTTGTGGGCTCTGAATCCAGGTGTATTGCAAGGACTAGGTTACTAGCAAGAGCTAATGAAGTAGATCTTTGCTGGATGTGAGGTAAACCAGAAAAAATGAATTTTTCGGTTAGATAAAAGTCAAGGATAGCTTTGGACCAAGAGGTCTTCAATACCAAGCTTACTGACCCAAATAGGAAAAATCTGCATATGCTGAATGAGACAATCAAAAAAGCAAGCTAAGTACAGGAAGTTAAGAATGTTTTCTCATATTTTTCAAGATATTTGATGTCTATTCTGACATTACATTTTTCAGAAAGTCAAGTTAATCACAGGCTTGTATCAGTGCTGCATATCCTACAGTGCTTGCTTAGGGAAAACATCATAATGAGATCTACATATGTACAGATTGTTGTTAACTAAGTGAAGTCCTATGTAAAAAAGCTGTGTACTTACACTGCACATGAGGCCAGATAAGGAGAACAAGAAGTTGAATATTTTTATTACACTGTTTTGAAAATAGTGCTTCAAGAGAACTCCCATTAGTCCATCCTTTGTAAAAGAGATATTCCAGGAAACATCTGCATAGCAGAGCACCCACATTAACACAAGTCAAAGTTAAATGGAAAGGAACATGACAAAACCAAAACCAAATAGCTATATTTAAAATCTGCAGGGAAGTTCAACTTTCCTTTAAAAGAAAACTTTGAATCCCAGCAAACGCAAATCAGTTTAAGACAGTCACTTACTTTGGGTATTTCCTACTAAAGGAGGCAATAGGGATGATCCACTTAAGGGAAAACACATTTAAACGCAATTGCTTCCTCAAATAACTGAAAACTGTACTACAGATTGCAACCCACCTACAAAGCTGTACGCCAAAATTGGAAGAAAAATC